TTGATCTTAAAATCAGTAATACAAAAAGTCACTTTCTAAATAATCTAAGTAAGATTTTACAGCATAGACTACAAATTAAAGTGGCAGGAGAGACTCTTTACGATTGTTGTGAACATAATATTATAAGTGTATACAAAGACCTGTGGTTGCCCAAAAGTGATCGACAAAGCCTTATTGAATATGGAATAGCTAACGAAAATTTAAGAAAACTTATTTCTAAAGATGATAGTGGTGCAACAAGTGGAAGTTCAGAAAAAGTATCAGATAAATTAATGTATGATATTTATAGTACAAGGCAAAAAATTAATATTGATACTATTCTTAAAGATCATGGTCTCTATTGCCCATTCAATATGAATAATAATTTCCAATATATAATAACCCTACCCCCGAGTGATCAAGTTCTTATCGCTCGAAGCGGTCAAAATATCGGTGATTATGAATTAGAAAATATTCAGCTAGAATATGAAACTATTGAAAATCAAGAAATTGCAGATGAGATAACAAATCTATATTCTATAGGTAGAAGCCTATTTTACCATCATATAACCCTCTTAAAAAAGGAAAAATGGGATAAATCAAGCACATTACAGAATATTAATGTCAATGTGCCTCGTAAAAGTATGAAAGGCATTGTACTACTATTCACAGAAAATTCAATTAGTGATAGTGAAAAATTTTTATATCCATTAATCGATTCAGTTAAAATCACTATTGAAGGTTCACCAAATTGTATTTTCGCCCAAGGTATGGATAAAAAAGTATTTTATGAAGAATCAAGACGGTTTTTTGATAAAACTAACCCAATAGATTGCTTCATGACAATTGAAAAATTTTATAAGGATAAATTTGCATTAGTTATCGATCTACGCACCTTTCAAGAAAAAAATATTGCTGGTAACGGAAAACGAATCATGAATACTCAAAACGGCATTCTTCTTGAAATTAAAAAGAGAGCATATACAAAAGATTTAAACTGTTACATATATGTTGTTAGTGATGCTCTTATTCAATTTGTTAATAATGATTTACAAAGTATTCAATACTAAAATAACCAGTAATATATAAATGAACACACCCTTTAATATGATTATATTAGGTATGACAGCTTGCGGCAAAACCTTCTTTCTTTTAAGAATGTTAGAAGAAAACTTTAATAGACATTTTGATTACATTATTTTATTATGTCCAACTCTCTCATATAATAAAACCTATCAAGAATGGAAATATATAAATGATTCTGATTTAATTAAAGTAGAATGTGACCAAGATCAAGTAGATATTGTTTTAAAATATGTTAGTGATGTATATAAAAACACTAATAGCCTTGTCGTTTTAGATGATTGTGCGAGTTGCTTAGATGTTAAAAATAGGACATCGGAATTAGTACGATTAGGGTTCAGTGCTCGTCATTATGGGCTTTCTACAATTGTGGTGACACAGCAATTGACTAGTATTTCTAAACCTTATCGTGAAAATATAAGTTATTTAGTTACATTTTATAATACAAACCGCAATGATATGAAAACCATATTTGATGATTATCTTTATGGTGTTGAAAAGATGATATAGAAGAAATAACCAAAAATTGAAAAATAATAAGTATGCACATTTAGAAATCAACTTGTATATCCATACCAATGGAAAATTGTTATTCCGCAATAAAACATGTGTTAATATATATATGCCAAAGCGTAAAGAGCCTGAAACAATTGATGATATAATTAATGAGATTGATTCCGCAAATAATACTATCAAAGATGCTGTATGTGATGATAATATACAAGATAAACCGCAAGAAAGTTTTAATAAAAGAGATCAACTACTTAAACTAGCTGAAGATGGTGATTTAGACAAGTCAGTTGCTTACATTAAAAAATGTAGTCAAAAAATTATTGATAAATTGTACACTGAATACGAGAAAAAACGATTACAAAAAACCAATGAGTTTTTAACTGATTTAGTTATATCAAAATTTTCAGATGTATTAGAAGGGTTTGATGCTATTCAAGACTCCAAAGAATTAACAAAACAGCTTAAATCAGACGACCTTTTAAAACGAGATGTGTACAGTTTAGTAGAAAAAATATCTCCCCTATTACCATTTTTAGGGTTTTTATCTGGGGGTATAACAACCGTTAAACATGTTTACGAACATAAAAATAATAAACCGGATATGAAATCTAAGGAATAATATAAATGAGCTTATTTTATGGACATGATAAAACAGATATTAATGTAAATATACAAGGATCTGTAGATAAAACACATCTATCAGATAACTACTATACTAAAACTCAAGCTGATGGTAAATTTAATGACTACTATACTAAAACACAAGCTGATGGTAAGTATGCTTTGATTTCTAATTTACTAAAATATTATACTAAAACACAAGCTGATAATAAATATGTTTTTGTTTCAAGATTAGCTAACTATTATACAAAGAATGAAACAAATGGTAAGTATGCTTTAAGTTCTAATTTAAATAAATATTATACTAAAACCCAAGCTGATGGTAAGTATGCTTTGACTTCTAATTTAAATAACTATTATACTAAAACACAAGCTGATGGTAAATATTATACAAAGACTGAAACAGATGGTAAGTATGCTTTAAGTTCTAATTTAAATAAATATTACACAAAGACTGAAACAGATGGTAAGTATGCTTTGACTTCTAATTTAAATAACTATTATACTAAAACACAAGCTGATGGTAAGTATGCTTTAAATTCTAATTTAACTAACTATTATACTAAAACACAAGCTGATGGTAAATTTAATGACTACTATACTAAAACACAAGCTGATGGTAAGTATGCTTTAAATTCTAATTTAACTAACTATTATACTAAAACACAAGCTGATGGTAAGTATGCTTTAAATTTAAGATTAGCCAACTATTACACAAAAAATGAAATAGATGATATAGTAAATAGTAAAGTAGTATATCAAAGTAACCAATTAAATTATACCACAACTGTTGATAGCCAACGAAATATTATCAGAATTGTTTTTAATAATATTAAATTTATTGAATTTACACTTTTATTAATAAATCCATCTGATAACTCTAAAACAGTTAAATTAGATATTATGGTAGATAAGATTAACAAAAAATTTATCATTCAAATAATAAATGATAATGAAAAAAAGATAGCTAATGCATTACTAGATTTATATTACGTATACTGTGCTGATGATGATCTAAACTATATTTATATTATTATTGAACCAAAAAAATCTTCAGCTTCAATTGATTATGACATATGGAAAAGAAAATGGCTGGCAGCATTTAATGGATTCACTAAAATTCAAGTTTATTCACACCATCAATCTACATTATCTATGAGATATAATGGTTATTCACAAAATTTCGGAGCTATTATACAAGATAATATTCTAGCAACTAAAAAATCTGTAAATGATGAAATCGAAAAATTAAAAAAATTTATTAAAGATAACTATCAAGCTAAGCCTAAAGATGAAGGTGATCATTAGATATATTTGACTACATATCACATAACTGTTTGTAACAAGTAATTAATAAAAACGGTCTACCGCATATATACCTTTTATAATAACTGTTTCTGGAGGTAGTTTATAAAAATTAAATTATTAACACTTGATTATTAACACTTGATTATTATACATGCGCTGATGAAATGTGCTGATTACATTAAACAACCATTGTTAAAAAACATGCACTAAGACACGCGCGCTGCTACTGATATTTTAATAACACTTGATTATTAACATTTGATTATTAAAGACGGTTTTTTTAAGAGTATTTCTTAAGCCTCTGTTATTCTCGAATATTCTTCGAATATTCATCGAATCAATGGAGGCGACCCCAATTTTCACTTCGTGAAAAATTTTCCCATCGTCGCCTAGAATTTGATGGGGCTCCATCCCCTGCTCGAGCACTTTGTGCTCTGCGCTGCCGAGCCCCATCAAAACCAATGCTTTATTAACACTTGTTTGTAAAGACCGTTTTTAAAACATATAGATTCCATATTTTTAAACAATGACTTTTTTACATGGCCTTTTACTGAGGGACGCCTTTGAAACATGGCCTTTTTACACTGCTTTGAAATAACGATTTTTACACAGCTTTTTTACATGACCTTTTACCAGATGGACGTCTTTATACCATGGTCTTAATTTACGCTTTTATAAAGATAGTTTTTTACCCACGGGTGTAGTAGTAATATACATGTGGGATTCGAATACATAAAAAGTAAACTTTTTATGGATTCGTACCCCCATGTATATTACTACTCAGCATCGGCACTCTTGAGGGTTGACAACAAGATCCAACGAACAATGGCCACATTCACACCTTTAATATTGGCCAAATTGTATGTTTCCATAAAGTCATCATAGCTAACGGCAGACGATTCAGATCAAAGTAAAACACTAAGAATGACATCTTACCATGAAGTAACATCAACACGGGCATCAAAACGATCTTACAGCATGTCTTCAACCCGCCGTTCTTCTGCGACTGCAGCTTCGTACTCAGCAATTTCATCGGGCGAAGCAAGCGGTTCAATATTATCGGCAAATGGCAAAATTTCCGAATTAGATTCGTCCGAATTTGCCGTCATGAATTCCGATGAAGAAATCGATGCGTTTGTCTCGATCGAAGACTCAGAAAGCGAGCTAGATCTCGATGAGTTTGACATTTTTTTGCTCTATTTATGTATTACTTTGTATACTTTCCAATGTGCGCTTCTTGCCGTGTTAAGACTATGACGTCACAGACCTTTGCTGATTGCAAATATTCAAAATGGCCGATTTTAATGGCGGACATGAAAATTAGACATTTCAAATGTTCATAACTCCCTCGTTATACTATTATTTTTGCTTAAATTTTACGAAAGCAATAATTGATATGTGTTTAAACTATTGAATGCTAAAATCGATGATTTTTTAACGTTCAGTTTTCGTCTTAGTACCACTTTAAATTAACTCAATTTAAATTCTAATTATAGTCTGGTTGCCAAATGCCACTTTAAGACAGAACGTTGCTGTTCAGGACCCCAAGCAGGTTTTTGCATTTTTTGTATCTTTACAAAATATAAAATTCATAATTTTAAGAGTGTCAACTTAGCACCCTTGGTGAAAATCTAATTTACGAGCTCATATATTGGCTGACACATTCTATTTCTAGATTTCAGCCATCCAAACTGTCTCACCTCTGCTTTTTAGCACGTTTAAATAAATTATGAAAGTAATACAGACTGATACTGGCATGCTATCTTGTAGAAATGTGTATATATACAAAATGAGTTACAAAGATTTTATAAAACAAAGAGGTTAGGAATCTAAAATTTTATTATTTGGCTGTTATTGAACATTTCCACTGACCGAATAAAAAATGCTGCAAACGATTGATTGTCGGGTTTTGTGGTGATTTTGACAAAGCCATGAACATTTTCTAAATTACTGTAATTTAACCCGATAACAAAAACATATTTTAATACTGCTTAAATGTACTCTTTCAGTCATACCTGTTTTTATGACTTCTTTTTACATTTATTTCCTGATCTTTCACCGTATTTTAAAAATAAGGTCATTACTTTTGACATAGAACAGACATATCCAGATTTTTAAAGTATAATGATATCTAATGACTCATATATGATAAAGACACACGAAGCGTAATGGAACATTCATGGAACATTTTTGATTCTCTCCAAGACGCACAGCTTCATCTATCTTGACGAATCTGGAGCAATTTCGCCAGTTACGATATTAAATAAACTCTCACAATGGCTTTCTGGATTTAGTGGAACAATACACAATTGCAGCTTACTCTCAATTTCTCTTGATCTTTTGCATCCGAAAATATACGTGCTGGCATTTCTTCGTTATGGGTAGCTACATCGTTTGATGATGATTCTTCATCTTTCATTTCAGATGCGCATTTAATCAGATCGCTGCAATATGAAGACTAAATTCCCAACGAGATATTGCTGAAAGGTTCAAAGTTTTACCAATATAGCCACCTGGCCATTACCATAACGCATAAACGTTGTTTCGATAAATATATCCGACCAAATTCATTCCATAAACCAGGCTTATGTCCTATTACATGCTTCCCTTTCATAAATCTATCTCTAAGTTCTGCCGGAAGACGCTCCTGTGAGCGCAAATAATATAAACCATATCTTCCGTGGTTGAAATGCCCAGCCGCGAAAAGTAGGGCATCATAGCCTCCACTGCTCCAAGATGTAAAGACCAGTCACCCTCTCTCTTTGCCCGAACACACATCATCATGATGAACACTGGTTTAAAGAAATTTTCTAACAAAATTTTGGTTGTCGTTCTTTTTTCTGCCTTTTCTCCCATTAACAAAGTCAAGTGCTCAGAGCACTGGATATCTTTCATAACATTTTGTAAAATTTCCTTTGCAAGCATTCGCAGAGCTCGGACATTCTGAGGAAATCGTTTACCAGAAAGCTTACGGTTAACACCAACAAAAGCCGCTTGAAGGATCTCTTTAAAACCCGTATCAGACATCAGTGATCCAACGCATCTAACAAAACCCATGAAGATATGCATTACTCAATGTCTCGGAATGAATTTCTCGAACATATGCGGATACGCCAAACGGATGTTTACCATTACTCGATATAGTTGTTGATCACAAGTAAAGCTGTGTAATCCTAGACAGTTTGCATAACAAGTTTCTTTACTTCAACCATAGCAGTCATCATTGTGTTTGGGTTTGACGGAATATTGTTAATCAGGGATCGAAACACAGCTTTAGTTGCAGGATTCAATGTCTGACCTTGTTCACGCGCCAAATTTGTGTTAAATCCAGAACATTCGGGCATTGTCGAATTTGAAATAAGGGGCCATGAAAATTTTGAAATTGAATGTCGCGTGGTATGCTATCTTTAATTTCTTGTCTATTGAGACGGTGGATATTCTGTGCACTAATGCTTTGATCAGTGGATTTCGTCGATGTCGGCAGCATTATAGGGAGCGTGTGTAGATAGCTGGCAATTCTGGGATGAAATGTTGGCATCAAAATTATCAGCCACCACCTGGAAAAAATTTGGGGAAGTATTTAAAATCCTCATCACTTTACAATTGTCTAATGCTGCCACCGCAGCAGAGGTTTTTAACCTCAAAATTTCATCATATGAGCAAGTGACTCCAAAATCATACAACTTCGATATGAGGGATTTCTCTCTCGCAAGAAAATCGCGTGAAATTTGAAGGGAAGTTGGCCGGTTAGAAAAACTGCTAGTTACTATATTGCCAATAAGTATTGCAGGTTAAGTATTAATCAACTTAATGGAGATATAGGATAACAGATGCAACAACGTAGGGCTTGTACTTTCGGCAGCAATGTTTTTATCCACAGACGTCTTGTAGTAAGTTTCATTGTCAGGTTTAAGAGTCTTACACTCTGAAACGATACGCTCAGCAATGGCATTTATATCAGCGCTGCCAATTTCCTCGACGACTTTAAGAAATTGTGAAGCTTTCTCCCGAAAAATGTTTGCAACTCCAGGAGATGGCAGGATTAACGAATCGTTACAAAGGACATTGTTAAGATTCTCCAAAAGTTTACGTCGAGAAAGTTGGACTCCACTATTAGAAATGTATATATTGTAAATTTCAACAGAGTTCCAAACTTGGGAGTAATCGGGTGTTATCTTATTGATAACAGTTTGGAAAGCCTCATCTTCGTCTTCTTTATTCTGACTTTCCTTTGCATTTGCTTTGGATATTTGTCGTGGTGCCATGAAATTTGGTCGGCAGTCCCAGTGGTATCTGGCATCGGCAGCATAAAGGTCACTAACTGCCCCTAGTACTCTGGTGCTTACTTGCTCTGCTCATTTATCATTACGTATGTCACACGCATATAATATCGTTTCTTTAAATGACTTTTGCCCCATACCACGATCTGCTCTTTCGAGGGATTGATAGGGGCCAAAACTTCAAGGTTATAAATTAGAACTGTTTTTTAAATGCCGCAATTCATTCCTGTTGTAATTCTAAAATTAGGCCAAATTGGTTGTTTTAATTTCAAATGTTACAGGTATAGTTATTAAATCAGAATATTGTGAAATGACTCGAGAAGATTTATCTGATGAAAAGTATTGAATCGTTTCCATTTTCAAAAATCATTTAACGCTTGGCTGAATCACGGCTACCCGGGCTTTTGTAATCAGCCCCTAATTGGAGCCAAAATTTTAACCCAATTAGCTAAAGCAGGGTTGAAATTTCAGCATCGGGCTTGAACTCAGCACAGGGTAGTAAATTTGGCTTATAATCGCGCGTTTGATATAGCGAATGATTTGTATTAAGACTGAGCTGAATTTTAAACTCACTTAACGGAGCTCAATTCAGCACAGGGTTGAAAATGCTTCATGGCTGTGCAACTGGCTGCTGTATATTTAATTAGTTTTCTGGCTGCCGTAAGCCATTTCATCATTCCTATTGGTCAGAAATTGCAATTGACTTGCTGCCACTATGGTAATTACATGGGAAATAAGATATGCGTGACACAAAAAATTTCAATAGAGTTACTATACTGTATATTTACTATACTGTAGCTGGGCTAAGCTTCACTCGTGAAAAATGGCGTAAGCAAGTTCCTCCAGTGTTCGGCGGCATTTTTGAGCGCTTTCCGGCACGCGTGTCATATTTGTCATGATATTCATCATGTTGAATAATGTTGGTCACGAATGAATGTTTCCTTTAAGTGTGCGCGCATGAAAAGCTATCACCTCAGCAAATGTAACTCTACGCATGCGCAAAGTAATTCATTTTATACTTTGGACGAAGATGGCGGCACAAAACGTGATAGCTGAAATAATGTTAGAAGACCAAATTCATTTATCAAAAGCGGTTTTGTCCAATCTACGATACTTCTGAAACTGCTCAGCATCTTCAGCATCCAGCTCAAGAACAATATTTGTAGCTCCCTGTGTAGGCCGTCCAGAAATCCCACGCTTTGTTCATGTAGTTGATTTAGCTGCTTTCAAACGCCTTCGCCGTAGCCGCAATAAAAATGGCAAAAGCAACATTTCTTTGTCTTCTACACCTGACGACGAATCAAACATACCATAAGCAGCAGCCACTTTGCTTTGATTAGCAAATTTTACAGTAGACAGAGCATGCGTAAAGGTTACATTTGCTGATGCGATAGCTTTTCATGCGCGCACACTCGGAGGAAACATTCATTCCTCACCGAAATTATTCAACTTGTTGAATATCTGGTAATAAAGACACGGGTGCCGGAAAGCGCTCAAGCTTTCATTCATTTTGCATTTTATCTAACACAGACATTTGTTTTAATCGATTGTTGTTTTCCAACTTTATACATACCATTCTTCGTCTGCAGATGGCTTGTCTTCTGGTTTTAGTGTGGCATCTTTGATTTCACCCAAGTCCACTCCAAGTAGTAAGAAATGTCAGTCAAATTCGTAGAAATGCCCGGCTAGACTTCTACAGTAGAAAAACACAGGACTGCGGTCTATACGTATATTTTAGCGATATCTTAAATAGCTCTCGAGATAATTTGATGCGAACGGTAATAAACTGTAACACGAGTAGGACTGAGAATGACCATAACAGGCTTGCAAACAAAAAATATTCCGATTGTAGAATGGAATATGGCAAATCTATGGGTGTTTTTCGTTTACAAAGAAAGCGGAGAATTATCAATAAAGCATTTTGACATGATGTTGAAATGTGGCAGGTGTACAAACAGCTTGGATATATTCAATAATCAAAAGCAAAAGGGAAAAGGAAGATTTGTCAAAAATTTCTCAAATTTTTAAAGTGAAGTGAAACATCATCTGTATTTCATTGAATAAATTTGACAAATTTCATTGCATAAAGTGTTACTTAAATAATTGACTTCAACTATTTGCCAATATCAACTAGCTTTCATACTAAAAACATTTAGGAAAAAATAAAAACCGTTTAGGTCCAAAACGATGTTTTCCATTTGTTTCAACGTAAAAAGCTACAATTCCTGCATTATAAAATCAATAAAAAAACATCATAACAGTTACAAGATTACTGGCGGTGGATACTGAAACGTGAAAAATTGACTTTATTTGTTATTTGCAGAATTCAACTACGTTTAAATGTCCACAACAAACACTTATAATAACATCAGACTGTTTCTTGTAGCAAGATACATTGATGATTGGATGTTGGATAGATCATATGACTGGAGTTATCCAATTGTTAACTCCTCGTTGTATTCTGCGATGAGGTAAATCTCCAACGCTCAAAAATCTAAATAATTTTGAGTCGCAGCCATGCTTATATTTAACAAAATACGAATGACGAACATACAATTTTATTTCATTTAAGAAGATGAATGCCATGTATTGCGAGGGATACGTTGCCACTACATGACTATACATTCGAATTAATGAAACAGAGACTTTGTCGTGGTGACAAACTTAAAGATAGGTATCAAAATAGCAAATACCATGGTGAATGGTGATAATAACTATGTAATAGTTCTTAAAAGAACTGTTTTAACCAAAATACTAACCAAACAATTCAAAGGAACCGTTATTTACACTTAGAAAGAGACACTATGCATTTCGGCAGAATACTCATCAGGTGTCAACGTCTGCTAAATGAGAACCTCCAAAGCATGCTATATTTATAACGTTAGAAAAGGTCAATGTCATCCCTATTTTTAGAGATGACACTTAAAACAGAGACAGATTAAACACGTAATCCTTTTGTCGGCAAAGGACAGGATTAGTCAATTTAATTAATACCGACTCCATGACGCGTAGCTGGAATAACGAGCGACATTTTTTAAATAATTCTAAAGTTTTCATCAGAATAAGCATTGGCACAGCGAGTGTTGCTCAAAAGATGTTTTCCAATCGCTGAATCACATAGAATCGGATTTTCACTTTTACACCCACGTTTTGGTAGTTTTCGTAAAGGAACAGTTTTATTCCTGACAGAAGCTGGTACATGCTGTTTTATTCTCTCACTCAACCTTTGAGAAGTCCTACCTACATAGCGAGCATCACACTCACATTTAAACTCGTAGACTACATTGCTTGATATTTGAGCAGGGAGAGACTCTTTGGGAGTGGGTGGAAGAATAGTTCTTTTTGAGAATATAAAGACCACATTGCATGCAAAAAACAAACTCTCGGTGAGATTTTTAGTTTCCTTCTCGATGTCATTAGAGGCCTTGCCCATCCAGGGAAGTTTAAGGAAAACTGGGCACTTGGCCGGCCCGAAAAGTTCATTCCGTTCATTGTTAGTGGATAAGAAAAGTTTGTCTAGCAATTTCTCCGGATATCCATTTAACACAAAAATATTCTTCAGTGAGATAAGATCACTATCAATAAACTCTTTTGAGGACAATCTATACGTTCGCTTTATCAAACACTTCACTAAAGAAATCTTTTCTCTATGCGAAGAAAAAGAGTCAAAGCGTGTGTACAAACCAGTGAAAGTTGCTTTGCGATGAATGCTTGTTAAGAACTGACCATTGCGTTTGTGTACAAGAACATCTAAAAAGGCTAATTGATTGCTTGACTCTAGTTCAGAGGTGTAATTTAGTGCAGGGTGAAGAGAGCAAAGTTTATTAAGAAAAAGTTCACGATTTTTATCGTTATGAAACAAAGAAAAGGTGTCATCCACATAACGCTTATACCACAACACATCCGGACAATCTGAAGATGCAAGCATTTTGCATTTATGATAGCCAACAAAAATATTCGCAACAAAAATTTTGCTATTTTGATACCTATCTTTAAGTTTGTCACCACGACAAAGTCTCTGTTTCATTATTTAAGAAAGCGCTATAGTGGTGATCAGGTTCGTGACCTGAATAAATTGGTGAGGCTTAGGGGTAAGGTTCGCTCGGTTGAAGACAGAGTTTCTTTTCTAGTCGGTTGTTTAAATGTAGGGGTCGTTCCTAATGATGTGGCTACTAGGATAGCAAGGAGTAGGGCAAGGCATAGTTTATATATGGAAAGGGCTTTTCTGATGGATGATATTAATAAGGAGAAATGCAAATGTATTATTTAAAGAGTTGTCTTGTGAAACAAATGGTGGTTGTTAAGGGTTTTCTATCAAAGTATGATTACATACGGTATTGTGCGTATTTAGGAGATATTAGATTCAAAAAATGGACTGTTGAACGGGCAGATAACGAAGAGAAATTGAAGCGGCTATCACGCAAAAGATACGGTCACATCGATGTTGCTGCATCACATGTAAGAAATCTTTCGTCGTATAAACTCTCTGCAGTCGAATTAGATGTACTATCTAGAGGTCCTAAATTTGGAATTCTCCCCCGTAAGTTAAATAAAGAAGATATATTTTTTGAGTTTAAAATGTTTTGGTCGCAGTTGGGAAAGTTTCAGCCAAACGATAGCGAAGCAGTGCCGGGCTTTAAGAGTAAACTATCAAGTCTTGCACACGTTTATTCTGAATGCAAGGTTGATTCGAAAGAATTTTCTCTTACAAAAGAGCACATGATCGCACTGTCTAATTTAAATAAGAATAAGAACATTGTTATATGTAAACCAGATAAAGGCTCTGGTGTAGTAATTCTTGACAGAGAAGATTACAACAGCAAAATGCTAAATATTTTGAAAGACAACAACAAGTTTTGCGCGCTTGGAAAATTGCCAGAGTGCGATAAAACTAGTACATTAGAAAGGAGATTGCAAACACTTCTTCTAAACTTGAAAAAATCAAACCAAATTAATGAAACTTTTTATAATTTAGTCCGCCCAACGGGGGCAGAGAGACGTATGTATGGTTTGCCAAAAATTCACAAGGAAGGCGCTCCACTTCGACCAATTCTAGCCATGATTAACTCAGCTCAACATGAGCTAGCCAAACAACTGTCAGTGGTACTTTCGCCCGTTTTGGAGAGGTTTTCAACATACGCTTTAAGGGACTCTTTTACTTTCACTGATGAGCTTAAACAACAAAATTTTTCAATGCATTCTAATCTAACGGTGTGTTCTTTCGATGTAACTAGTCTCTTCACTAATGTGCCCCTAGAAGAAACCATTGAAATTTGTGCCCAAAATCTTTTTCACTCAGACATGACTTTGCCGGACATGTCTGAGAATGCCTTTAGAGAACTAATGATGGCTGCTACAAAGGGTGTAGAGTTTAGTTTTGATGACAACATGTATAAACATATTGACGGGGTGGCTATGGGTTCTCCACTTGGACCGGTTCTTGCGAATATTTTTGTTGGCTATCATGAATGCATAATGCTTGCATCTTCAGATTGTCCGGATGTGCTGTAGTATAAGCGTTATGTGGATGACGCTTTTTCTTTGTTTCATAACGATAAAAATCGTGAACTTTTTCTTAATAAACTTTGCTCTCTTCACCCTGCACTAAATTACACCTCTGAACTAGAGTCAAGCAATCAATTAGCCTTTTTAGACGTACTTGTACACAAACGCAATGGTCAGTTCTTAACAAGCATTCATCGCAAAGCAACTTTCACTGGTTTGTACACACGCTTTGGCTCTTTTTCTTCGCATAGAGAAAAGATTTCTTTAGTGAAGTGTTTGATAAAGCGAACGTATAGATTGTCCTCAAAAGAGTTTATTGATAGTGATCTTATCTCACTGAAGAATATTTTTGTGTTAAATGGATATCCGGAGAAATTGCTAGACAAACTTTTCTTATCCACTAACAATGAACGGAATGAACTTTTCGGGCCGGCCAAGTGCCCAGTTTTCCTTAAACTTCCCTGGATGGGCAAGGCCTCTAATGACATCGAGAGGGAAACTAAAAATCTCACCGAGAGTTTGTTTTTTGCATGCAATGTGGTCTTTATATTCTCAAAAAGAACTATTCTTCCACCCACTCCCAAAGAGTCTCTCCTGCTCAAATATCAAGCAATGTAGTCTACGAGTTTAAATGTGAGTGTGATGCTCGCTATGTAGGTAGGACTTCTCAAAGGTTGAGTGAGAGAATAAAACAGCATGTACCAGCTTCTGTCAGGAATAAAACTGTTCCTTTACGAAAACTACCAAAACGTGGGTGTAAAAGTGAAAATCCGATTCTATGTGATTCAGCGATTGGAAAACATCTTTTGAGCAACACTCGCTGTGCCAATGCTTATTCTGATGAAAACTTTAGAATTATTTAAAAAATGTCGCTCGTTATTCCAGCTACGCGTCATGGAGTCGGTATTAATTAAATTGACTAATCCTGTCCTTTGCCGACAAAAGGATTACGTGTTTAATCTGTCTCTGTTTTAAGTGCCATCTCTAAAAATAGGGATGACATTGACCTTTTCTAACGTTATAAATATAGCATGCTTTGGAGGTTCTCATTTAGCAGACGTTGACACCTGATGAGTATTCTGCCGAAATGCATAGTGTCTCTTTCTAAGTGTAAATAACGGTTCCTTTGAATTGTTTGGTTAGTATTTTGGTTAAAACAGTTCTTTTAAGAACTATTACATAGTTATTATCACCATTCACCATGGTATTTGCTATTTTGATACCTATCTTTAACATTCGAATTAGTAATATTTTAAGTCCCATTATAAATATTTTAAGTAATCATATCCATTTGCGGAGATTACAATTTTTTACTGTATATAATACATAAATAATTATAAGACTTCAGCATCGAGTGAGAAAATGTTTAAATGAAAAGTCAGAAGATAGTGTAAACAAATCCTGAACAATCGCACGATGTTCTTAATTATTCTTGTGATCAGTTTTAGTTTTCCTGTGAGTGGACCTAATGACTTTGTGCACCAGAAGAGGAAGTTCAGGAAAACGTTGCAGGAAATACTCTTTATAATTGCCTTGCTTCACATATTGTGATAGATGCGGACGAGGCTTATTTTGCCAATGTTGGTCAACGCTTCGTATAAATCTTAGACATCCTGCCCATGTAGACTCGTAGTTTAGAGTTCTTATACTGTCGTTTGCTTCAAAGTTGAACAAATCTTTGACGACTTCATCATCGATACGCTTCATCCATTCTGTGGAACCATACAACTGCGTATGATCGTCTGAAGGGGGAGAATTTTGACCTTGTGAATGTTTCACTTCAAGTTGGTTCCCCATATCACACAGCATGTTAAATTTCTCTTCGTCTGATTGTAGATAAGGGTGTTTTAACGCCTCATTGGCAGATGGCCTGTATTCCGGCTCTAGCTGTAGCATCCACGATAAAAGGTCTTTGAACGTGGCATCCTCGATTTCGTCCAAGGCAACTGGGTTTCCTTTCAAAATGTTGTCCAATCTAAGCCGTTTATCTCCAAAAGGATGTTTTCCCTTTGTTGCAACATAATAGGCCACCATTCCTGCATTCTATTTTCAATAAAAAATTGTCATAAACAGTCAGTGGTGGATATTAAAACCTTAAAGATTAAATTTATTTGCGATTTGCAGAACTCAACAATAAATGTGCAGCTTAAAAAAATCTAAAAAATGTTCTCCAAAGAGAATTGTAGCCATATATATGTATCAAAAGCAATCTAAATATAGAACATACAATTGTAACTGTAACACAATAACAAAAATTAATTTATTTTTATTAAAGGTTGACACTATATGACGATACAATCGGGGTACAGAAAAAAATTGAGGTAAAATCATTATCACTAACAAATACCAATATCTAATTAAATGCAAATAAAACATTGAGCTGTTGTTGGACCTCTAGTTCTACTTCAAGAACTTACCATAATGTCAGACTCTTTTTTGTAACGAACTTTATTAATTGATCCATCTGATGCGTCATATGACTCTGGAGCTATCCAACCTTGAGCTCCTCTTTCTATGCTCCGATGTGTCGAAGTTTCATCAGATAACATATGACTTATACCAAAGTCAGCGATTAAAAAATTTTCTTGTACATCACGAAGAACGTTCGGAGGTCTTAAATCCCGATGAAGAATAGGACGCTCACCGCTGTGAAGGTGAACTAGACCATTTAAGATCTGAATAAGAACTTTAGGAACGACTTTTTGAAGATCTTGCAAAGAATAAGATTTCACATAACTCTCTAACGATTCTTCACACAAATCTAATATCATGTACAAATAATCTTCGTCAAGGTTCTCTATTAAATCCCAAAAATTCACAACATAATTTGAACGCTTTGCATTCAACTCATTCAAAATTTCTTTTTCTCGATTTGCATAGTCTTTGCCGCTATCTTTGTGTATTCGCTTTACTGCTTTTCCATAACCATTGTTTCCCAGGGCATGGTAAACACGGGTTCCATCACTTCCCTTGCCAAGCAAAAACTCCTCCTTGAAGATTACACGCAATTCACTGAGCAGTGTAACTTTTTCTGGATGTTCGCGTCCATATTCCTCCATCTTTTTAAACTTTTCCTGATGCATTATTGATTTATCGAAACATTTCCATGGTTGACGCAACAATTCTTGAACTTAAAGGAGAAGTACAAATCAGGAAAAATTAAAAAAGGACTGATAAATTCATCAATTCATAGTTTTATTTGTTTTGGCAATATCACATAACATATGAAATTGCTGTGTGTTTTTTTCTGGATGAGAAAACACGTGTGTTTTTACTTTGATATGGAAATAACATTTACTCCGGTAGAAATGTGTTGGTCATCATACAATTCACGGACAATAATCGACGTTCCACGATTAGTTCATTGCATGACCATACCAACCTTGAACTCAATAAAGCCAGTGGCGAATCTAGGGTACGTCAAAATAAATTTGCTGCAGCTCTGGCTTGGATATCTTTCCATTTCCACATACATAGAGGCAAGTCCATTGATAAAGTTTAAATTTTTTGAAATTCAAATTCAAAAGTTTTGGTTTGAAAATATTTTGAATTTAAAATTGAGCATTCATAATTCATTTTGACAAACGCTAGATCTGCTATACTAGATTAAGCAATTCTGCAATGGATAAAACACACATCCTTTTCACATTAACATAAAACATGAAATTTAGTATCTGAATGCTATGACCAAAAATCCTCTTATAATAAATTGAATTTACTCAATGCTCTCCACAAATGTTTACAAAGCAATGATCCCTTTAATAACTGACTTTGTTTTAACTAGGAAAAATAAGAAATAGTTAAGATGGTTGCTTACGACATTCTGCACTTTACGTTCAGACACGGATATTTTTATGCATACAATGAAAAGAATTTTTCATTCCTAATTAATACTCATTAAAAAATTCTGAGAATTGAAAAAATTTACACAACATTTTCCAACTCGAGCAATTGAGAGCAGTAAAAAAAATTAATCATAATGTTTTACGAAACTAAAAATAATTCGTTATACCAACCTTCCAAACGTTGTTTTCCCTCTTCTGCATTATAAAATAAATAATAAAATAATATTCAAATATTAAACAGTATAAGAATGAGTAAGCATTTTAAAATATTTTTTTGCACCATTATAACGGAAGTAGTTAAAAATAGCAATCTGTCAAAACGCTGACATTTTGAAAACAACGCTTGTTATTTTTTAAACGACTCAAACCAATATCTGAAAGTCATAAAGAGCATTTTCTTAAAGAACATTTTTTGGCATGCGTTTTAATTTTTTCCTGCCCACATCGGCTTTGCATACTTTTAACGAACTTATGAAAATATTCTAGTGTAACGATCTTATGTAAATATGCAGTACAGATCCCTTTCAATGCGGAAACATTGAGATTGAAAAATCAATAATGAAAGCATCTGTCGAGGTGAAAAGAGTTCGGAGAATTAAAGAACCTAATGTTTTCAAGGTTACCTTCTGAAAAGCTTGTGTTTATCCAAAAGAGTTCATCAAAATTATCATCTGCATCTAAACACATGATAAAGAAAAGAAACGTGTACATCACATGTTACACTACCCAGCTTTTGTAAAATATGAATAAAAAGTAGGTCCACAAACGGATAAAAGACGAAAAATGTCGGTCTGACTGAAATTTTGGGATATTTGATCCAATAAAGACACAATAAAGTTGGTCCCATGACGTAGAACACTCCCCCTCAAACTTTTCAGCGAGCCATAATTTATTTAGAATTTGCATTTACGTAACCATTTATTGTATGTGATTCGGTCTTGCAAATATTACATGCATGGTTATGCTAATACCGTGTGTTTGCAAAGAGGGAGTTGAACCAGTGAGTTGAACTACCTTACTTTGTGGTTTCTAATCTTTTGAGTGGAAAAATAACAACGTGGGTTTTATTGCAAGTTTTTCCGTAAGCCTAATAATTTACTTTTTCATAACACATCATAAATATCTCTTGAAACAGTTATTTGTCACAATAAAAGTTAAAGGAAACGAATATTTTAGATCCAACATCAGGGCATCTAGCTTCCACATAAACGCTACATGAAACTATGTATTCGTAAACATAATTATTGGCTTTCATTGGCTATCAATAATCAAATAATATGTTTTAAAAGGATGTTTTCAACAATATTCTATTTAAGTTCATTTATGTACGTGTAACGTATACATGTAACAGACACGTTGATCATGATGGTTTTCACAATTCAGTTTTAGCATCATAGCCAGTTTTCACATTCTATACATACTGATCAAATTTCTATGTTTACAAAGTTTAAAATTTTCACATGATTATGATCCACAACATTTGCATTATTTTTGAATTAAAAGATCTTAGTTGCCTACATATAACAATACCTTTTAAAATTAATTTATCAGGTTATAAATTATTGTTTGTGTTTAGCGTTGAAAAACATGGAAATGTTTGGGCAGCAAATGTTTGGTAAAAAAATTCTTTTGCTTACA